GGGGAGATGTGGGCTATGTTACGTTAACATTATTGTTCATCTATATTAATAATAAGGTAGAACCAAATTTTTAATCTTTTTTCACTTAATAAATTTAATTTTATTTAAATTCATTTGGAAAAGTACAATTAATTTTATTTAAATTTATTTAGAAAAGCACAAGGACGGCTCAAATTCATTCTAATTTTAATTCAATGATCTAAATTTCATCTCAATTTTCCAACTTAACCAAAGGCTCACATCAAACCCACCATCTACACGCTACCCCCCCCCCCACACTACACACCCAAATCAAACTCATTCCCTACAGCTACTCTCTGCCTCAAATCAAACTCATTCCCTACACACCCAAATCAAACCCACCCCTACAGTTACTCTCTGTCTCCCGCCCAAATCAAACCCATTCCCTACACACCCATTTCCTTGTCATGCCTCATGGCTCAACAAAACGGCAGCACACAGCAACCCAGACCCTTACCCCTCTACCCACACTCCTCTCACTCCTTGCCATGGCTCAGTGGCGGCACACAGTGGCGATCAACACAGCAGCGACACCAATGGCGTTCAACACAGCGGGCTCACCAAGCTCAGCCCAGGTACCTCCCTCTCCCCCTTCGAGTTACAAATGTGTAGATTACAGCAAATGTAGATTCTTTCCTTATGTAGATTCGAGTTGTAAATGTAGATTACAGCAAATGTAGATTTAAATATTTTTGGAATGAATAATCTTTCCTTATTCGGAGGTTGGAAATGGGTTAATCTTTTGTGAGATTTTTGGATTCTTTTGATGATCTTTTTTTTTTTTCCTGACAGTTTTTTCATCTGCTATTAACCATTAAAGCACTGATGTATTTCAACTGCGTAATTCCATTAAAAATGTTTGCTTATTTACTCAAAAATGTTTACTTTATTGTATTGTGTTGGTTGATGTTTTTTTTTTAAGTGTACAGAATTTTGTGTGTGTTACAGAATTTTGTGATCTTTTCACTTTTTGATCTATTATTGATCTGAACTTTTTAAGTGTAATCTTTTCGTTGCCAAATTATTCCAGGTTTTGCAAATGAAATCTGCTATACTAAATTCCTTGAAGTTTGAAATGACAGCCCCGACATCCTAATTTTTTTTCCCTGCAAGTTGAAGTTGATTTGATGCTTATTAAGTTACTTATTTCTCTTCATTATGACAGCCCCTGTTTTGCACTTAATCTGCTTATTAATGGTAAAGTCTATAACACAATATTAGTAATCTGTTTATTAATGGAAATGTCTTTTGGTTGGGTAATAAGAAGCTTACACTGGACACGCACACAGAATCTCATTGACTATTGAAATGTCATTGGCTTCCATGGAATCTCATTGCCTCTTATGTCTATTGAATCAATAACTATTGGCTTTGTTCCGGGATGTATTGGTTTGTTTTTGTCTTGAGGCTTTTGTATGAAAAAATATTTTTCTTTTCCATTGGAACATGCTTTGGGTAGAACATATCTTGGCAGCCTGTGAGAAAGAGACAATGGTGTTTTAATGGTTTGGACATGATTGTGTCTTTTATTTATTTTATTCTCCCTCTTCTCCATCTGGTCTTCACAGCAACACGCAGACTTGAAAATGCCTTCCCCAAATTTTGCCTTTGTTCTTGGCACGTGGAAGAAATTATCACTTTAAAACTAAGTTAACACTTTTATTATCAGAAATATGTAAGAGTATCTTATATTCATGTTTGTGTTGTGTGGTACCAGGTGCATAATTGGGTTTTAATATTTCATGGTGTGGTTATTTACTGGCTAGCTATGTTAGGGCGTTGTTTTGCTTAAATTAATTTTTGTTTGGAACCAAAAGTTCTTTGTAATCTCCTTTTTCTTTCATTCCACTCTCTGATAAAATTAATTAAAATTCACTTTCTTTAGGGTGGTGAAGAGCAAACTCGGTGCAGTCTGTTCTGTATTTTGTGTTTCTTGGATTTTTTATAATTCATATTCTTCCTGCATTCTTTCCTTTGTTTTTTTATTGATTAAGCAAGATTGAAATATCTTGCACATTCAATGAAATATCTTGATTAAGTACTATACGATTAGAATTTTCACTTTTAAGTCTTGATTTTAATTTCACTTTCAGTGATGTTATCCCGATAAACACCATGACCCATGTGGAACCTACAGATTTCGAACACTTTTGACTGTTCAATTATGTTTTTTTGGATTAAGATTTTTGGTTGATTAAAATGTTTAGGATATAGTCCATTGCCTTTGTTCTAGAGTGTATTGTGTTTTCAATATTGCAAAATGCTTTTTTCCTAGCCCATTAAAGTAGCCGGCAGAGATTGGGAGAGCTATAAAAGAAAAGTGTTGGTCATTCATATAATATGTTGGGTGATTTACACATCCCTGGAATTACTTATATTTTTCATTATCTAACAATTGAATTAGTCCCCCATTTGCATGGGTCATATCTTCCCACATTGATTTTTGAATAGTTGTTGTCTATTATTTAGTAACCAACTGAGATACTATATAAATTTGTGGGCCTAGAATCTTTGCATGAATGATCATTCGTTACCTTTGAATTAATAATTCAAAAGTTATTTGTTCTTAAAAGAAGTTAATTCGTGGCACAATGATGTTGCTGTGACAACTTTTGGTTGTCTTTGAGAACAGTGGAATCATTTTTGGATATACTTTGTTGGTGGTTTAAGGAGTTACACAAATGTTGGGCTTTTTACAATATAATTTTTTAATTATGCTGTTTATGATGAGTTAATTTTTCATACTTGGTTAATTATGGCTTATGCATTTAAAGTACTCATTATGTTTTTAAATTTTGAATGACTTTGTGGCATTTGAACTACTCATGTGACTTACTTAGTTGTCACATGACTGCTTATGAAAGTAGACTGCTTATGATTTAACTGCAATAATATTATTGTGCAAATGCTGAAAATATGATATTGAATGCTATTGAAAATAACTAAAATTATGTTTAAATGCCAAATTTGAAAATGCTATTATGGATGACGATCTATAATTTTATGTGTATAAAAATTTTATGACTATTATAATTATGAAGCTGGTAAATGATTGGGTAAACAGTTCTATTAAGGCAACACTGTTATATAATTGTGAGTTTGGTGAAAAGTTTGATCTGTTGAAGCGACAATAGCTTAACAACATACTGCAACATTTTTTCTTACATTATATGCATTGTTTTTTTTTTTTATTAAAGGAGGAAAAAATGTCAAATTCATCTACAAAAGCCAAATCTAAGGGGAAAGAAAAAGCTACAGTTTGTCAACTGGTATGACTTTTCATCCTATTTTTTCTCTATGGTTTTATGTGCATAAAGATGTTTATGATTTTTTTTAAAAAAATTTGTTAGCTTTAGATTGGTGCAAATAGTTTGTGTTCGTACTTCACTTGGTATATATTTTTTTCTTCATTTTTTTGTGTTTTCAGATAGTTAAGTTTATCTTTACATTCATATATATTTGGATGCAATGAAGCCCAAAACCGTTCGATGATATTCCTAATAGAAATGAGAAAGTGGTTGTAAAGTTGTGTTAATCTATAACTATAGTTGAGGCTAACTTCATTCGTTCCAATGTTGTATTAGTTGAATTAGTTTGGACCTGATTTTCTATGTTGTCAATTGAGCATTATGGAAAAAACTCTCTGCAGTGGGTTTTACTTTATTATGGTGCATGAATTATCATGAAAGATTAAGGAAAAACATATGTAGAGGAGATGCAGATCCTTAAACTCTGTGTATCCCTGAATTCTTTGTCTATTTAAAGGCAGTGTGGTTCTTTCATTTATGTCGACGACAGCTTCAGTTTTTGAATGTTTGTGTTTAATTTGGAGTGTTTTAAATTTAATTTTTTTTACAATGGGTGTTTAATTTGTGTTCTCACTCTATCTCTCTCTCTCTCTTTCACTGCACTAGCACACGCACACACACAACAACACACAAAACACACACACATTTGCACACAAACACACATTTAAATTGAGTCTTTTAATTTGGCTATTTTTATTAAAAGGTTTATAGTTATAATGAAATAGGTTTTTTTATTATGAATGTTAGGATGGAATGAATGTTGAGTTGGTTATTATTGATTAGTGTTCTTATCTAATTCATCATAAGTCTTCTTATAAAATAATCAATAGAAAGAATATTTAAAGTCGATGACAGCTTCAGTTTTTGAATGTTTGTGTTTAATTTGAGTGTTTTAAATTTGGCTTTTTTTATAATAGGTGTTTAATTTGTGTTCTCTCTCTCTCTCTCTCTCTTTCACAGCAGTAGCACACCCTTGACAACAACACACAAAACACACACACATTTGCACCAAAACACACATTTAAATTGGGTGTTTAATTGGATGTTTTTATTTTTATTATGAAATAGGTTTATAGTTATGATGAAGTAGGTTTTTTTAATTATGAATATTAGGATGGAATGGATGTTGAGTTAGTTATTATTGTGTGTTCTTATCTATTTCATTATAAGTCTTCTTATAAAATAATCAATACAAAGAATATTTAAAGTCGACGACAGCTTCTATTTTTGAATGTTTGTGTTTAATTTGAGTGTTTTAAATTTGGCTTTGTTTACAATGGGTGTTTAATTTGTGTTCTCACTCTATCTTTCTTTCACAGCAGTAACACACACACACACAACACCACACAAAACACACACACACATTTAAATTGAGTGTCTTTTAATTGGGTGTTTAATTGTTTTTATTTTTATTTTTACTATGAAATAGGTTTATAGTTATGATGAAATAGTTTTTTTTTATTATGAATGTTAGGATGGAATGCATATTGAGTTGGTTATTATGTAGTGTTCATTTTGTGAAATTTATAGACTAATTTAGGTTGTCTTTTTCCTTAATTTTGGTTTTAGGAATTGGATGTGTATGTATTTTTGTATATGTATTATGTTTGATGGAATGCAGGTTAATTGTATGAAATTTCATTGTAATTGATGTTAATTATACATAGCTTATGATAATTACTATGTAGCTACAACCGTTTCAACTGCACAATCATCGACCAATGGATGATGTCGTTATATTTGGCAGTGTAAGTTTATTATCTAATTAACTCTCTCTAAATATATCTTATTGATTTGTTTAATAACTTATTTATTTTAATGTATTTTTATTAATGTCGTGACAGATGGATGACGACCTAGAAAATACCGTATGATAAGTTTTTCTTACTCATCATTTTCTTACTTTTTATCTAATCTTTTTACCCGCTTATTTACTATTCAATGTTTTTTTGGTCTACAGGTTCGAAGACTTCGTCATAATAATGTAGGAGTGGTAATTCGCAATGAGTATGAACTAAATTGTCTCCGTATACGTGAGGTAGTGTATTCTCACACCTATTTCTCATTCAATTTTTTTTTTTTTGGCTTTTAAGTAGCATTTTCTTACACAGAAGGAGAAAAAAAAGTCTGATGCTTTGGCGAATGACAAATTTAAGGGGAAAGAAAAAGCAACCGCTTCTAGCCAAGGAACAAAAAATCAAGATTGCCAACTGGTATCACTTTTAATCCTATTCTTTTCTCTATGTTTTTACAATGGATTTGGATGT